TATGTACATATTAAACTATTGCAAAAGGTTGTAAAATAACTATTGTACTAGACGATACAAAGAAAGCATTTCAGAACAAGCGGTCTTCCAGCGACTATTTCATCTGTTCGGCGGCTGCCCCGGGTGCAAGGTAATCAGAAATCATCAAGAAATCGAGGCCGAGACGCCTCTTTCTTTAGATACTGAATTAACTGCAAAAGATTGTAATATAACTATTGTATTATATCGTTTAATGAAAGCATTTCAGAACAAGCGGTCTTCCAGCGACTATTTCATCTGTCCGGCGGCTGCCCCGGGTGCAAGGTAATCAGAAATCATCAAGAAATCGAGGCCGAGACGCCTCTTTCTTTAGATACTGAATTAATTGCAAAAGATTGTAATATAACTATTGTATTATATCGTTTAATGAAAGCATTTCAGAACAAGCGGTCTTCCAGCGACTATTTCATCTGTTCGGCGGCTGCCCCGGGTGCAAGGTAATGAGAAATCATCAAGAAATCGAGGCCGAGACGCCTCTTTCTTTAGATACTGAATTAATTGCAAAAGATTGTAATATAACTATTGTATTATATCGTTTAATGAAAAGCATTTCAGGAACAAGCGGTCTTCCAGCGACTATTTCATCTGTCCTGCGGCTGCCCCGGGTGCAAGGTAATGAGAAATCAACAAGAAATCGAGGCCGAGACGCCTCGTTCTTTAGATACTGAATTAATTGCAAAAGATTGTAATATAAATATTGTATTATATCGTTTAATGAAAGCATTTCAGAACAAGCGGTGTTCCAGCGACTATTTCATCTGTTCGGCGGCTGCCCCGGGTGCAAGCCAATGAGAAATCATCAAGAAATCGAGGCCGAGACGCCTCTTTCTTTAGATACTGAATTAATTGCAAAAGATTGTAATATAACTATTGTATTATATCGTTTAATGAAAGCATTTCAGAACAAGCGGTCTTCCAGCGACTATTTCATCTGTTCGGCGGCTGCCCCGGGTGCAAGGTAATGAGAAATCATCAAGAAATCGAGGCCGAGACGCCTCTTTCTTTAGATACTGAATTAATTGCAAAAGATTGTAATATAACTATTGTACTAGATGATACAAAGAAAGCATTTCAGAACAAGCGGTCTTCCAGCGACTATTTCATCTGTTCGGCGGCTGCCCCGGGTGCAAGGCAATGAGAAATCATCAAGAAATCGAGGCCGAGACGCCTCGTTCTTGAGATACTGAATTAACTGCAAAAGATTGTAATATAACTATTGTATTATATCGTTTAATGAAAGCATTTCAGAACAAGCGGTGTTCCAGCGACTATTTCATCTGTTCGGCGGCTGCCCCGGGTGCAAGGTAATGAGAAATCATCAAGAAATCGAGGCCGAGACGCCCTCGTTCTTTAGATACTGAATTAACTGCAAAAGATTGTAATATAACTATTGTATTATATTGTTTAATGAAAGCATTTCAGAACAAGCGGTCTTCCAGCGACTATTTCATCTGTTCAGCGGCTGCCCCGGGTGCAAGGTAATGAGAAATCATCAAGAAATCGAGGCCGAGACGCCTCGTTCTTGAGATACTGAATTAACTGCAAAAGATTGTAAAATAACTATTGTACTACACGCTACAAAGAAAGCATTTCAGAACAAGCGGTGTTCCAGCGACTATTTCATCTGTTCGGCGGCTGCCCCGGGTGCAAGGCAATGAGAAATCATCAAGAAATCGAGGCCGAGACGCCTCGTTCTTTAGATACTGAATTAATTGCAAAAGATTGTAATATAACTATTGTATTATATCGTTTAATGAAAGCATTTCAGAACAAGCGGTCTTCCAGCGACTATTTCATCTGTTCGGCGGCTGCCCCGGGTGCAAGGTAATGAGAAATCATTGTAAACGAAAAGTTATTTGGCTATAATTGTGTGTATCTCTGCATGCCTTAGATGTTCGTTTCTTAGGTGTAGCGTTAGGACTGACTGAATTAGGTTAAATATGAATCTCTTAAATATCTTGAATTCCTTACGACCAGCTACCGACCATTTCTAACCCTGACCTCTCGAACTGGGTCCAACGACAATTTACCTGACCGCAGATGCGCACTCCCTCCAGTTGACGATTAGTATAAGAATCGGCCTTTTATTGGGGCCCTACAGAAATCTAAATATAGAGAGGGGCGCAATAAAGAGGGCAGCTCGAGGGGGGCCGCAGAGGGCGGAAGGCCTGGGGGGAACGGAGATTGGACCCCCTAGCCTTAGGGGCTAGGGTTATAAAGGCTCCGCCCCCTCCTTCCGCACTCTGCGCTCTCCTCCCGGGTAGACAAGGCTTTTCCTTCCATCCATAAGTCTGCATGGTCGGCTTACATCCCCGCGGCTCGCTAGAAGTTCGTCCCGAACTTCCGAGCGGGAGTGACAAAGAGGGCATAGTCTTCTTCTGGCTCTTCTCGGTCTTCCTCATCCTCATCCCGTCTCCGACTTCTTCCTCCTCATCTCCGTCTCCGACTTCTTCTTTGTTTTTCTCTTCATCGTCTTCTTCAGCCTTGTCTTCATCTTCCGTGTTCTCTTCTTCTTCTGCGCTTCTAGTTTGCGTCTTGTAGGGTTTTACTCTGCTTTTATGCACAATTATTTGTCCTCTTCTTGTCCTCCCTTTCAGGGTGACTGACGATCTTTCGTCTTTTATTACCGCATATGGTCCGTCCTAGGCTGAGTTTCCACCTTCCTCGCTGCCCTCTCTTCCTACCATCACTTGGGCGCCTTCCGGGCGTATTTCTTTTCTGCCCGATTCTCATTTTTCTTCTTCTGGTTCATTTCAGCCGACTTCCCGATCTTCTGTTTCATTTTAGCCCAAATCGTCGGGAGCGAGAGCTTCAAGATATCTCGCAGATCTTCTGGTGTATCAGGAGCTCCATGTTGGGCGGTTTTCTAAGAAATCTTCCGGGTCTGTGGGATGTATCCGCATGAAGTGCCTCATAAGGAGACACTCCTGTTGTCGTGTCGTGGTGTGCTTCTATACGCGATGAAGTAAATGAGCGGGATATAAATATCCCATTCTTCCGGAGGAACTTCTGCGGGATTTCATAACCACTGAGAGCCATTCCTCAATGGTTCTGTTCTGCCTTTCAGCGATGCCGTTGGTGGCATGGACATACGCATGTCCCAGACTTTGTGTATCCCAAAGAGTTTTAGAGTTTCTTTAAACGCTTCTTGACGTAAAAAGATGAGCCTCTATCCGACACGATTTGCCTCGGAAATCCGTGCTTGGTAAGCAATTCCTCATACATTGCCTTTATCCTGGTCTCGGATTTGGTGTCGGGTACGGCTTTCGTGATCGGGTATTTGGATGTTTTTTTCACTAGCACGAGGAAGGTATCTCATATACTGGCGGAGTTTGTGGAAGTGGCCCGCAGTGATTCATGTGGACCCGCTGCCACGGACGTGTGTGGCCTCTTCGCACTTCCCAATGGGAATTTTTGCAAGGTAGGGTCCTTTCTTTCGGGCCTGGTATTCTCGGCAGCTATTTACTATAGCATCAACTTGGCGTTTTTGATTGTTCCATACGAATCGCTTCCTCACGGGATCATTTGTTCGTTCGGCTCCTGAGTGTGCTCCCAGATGCGCCTTCGGGTGGTAGTAGAGCACTATCTGCTTGTTCCACTCGGAGTCCTCACGCATAACGGCTGCTGGAGTGGTCAAGGTGTCCGGAGGTTTTATATAGACGATCCCTTCTAAGACACAGTATTTTTCTCTCCATTGTTTCACACGCTTGATCTTCATCTTGATTTGGTATCCTTTAACTGTTGCCTCCTTCACTATCTCTTTAAGCCCACGGCATATGAGACTGGTCAACCCTGATTTGGTTGTTGTCGGGGAGTTTCAGCGTTTTCTCCTCCAAGGCATGTACCTGTGTCGCTTCTGCTTTTTCTTCTTCGGGCTGACCATTTTCCTCTGGTGGGTGTCTTGATAGAGGCAGTCTGCCAGCCCATTTTGTTTGCCCTGGCTTGTACTCCTATCTGATGTTGTAGCCCTGAAGGATTAGTTGATATCGGGCAAGACGGGGAGTTAGTTTCTTCTCTTTTAAAACTGTAACCAGCGGGCGGTGGGCCGCTCTGACCGTGATCCGCGCGCTTCCCCAGATATAGGAGTGGGGGGCCTGCATTGCTGCACACAGGACCCCACAGGCCTCCCAGTTCCATGGCAGCATATCGACCTTCAATTGGAGTTATCTTCCGACTCCAGTTGTTTAATGAAAGCATTTCAGAACAAGCGGTCTTCCAGCGACTATTTCATCTGCTCGGCGGCTGCCCCGGGTGCAAGGTAATGAGAACTCATCGAGAAATCGAGGCCGAGACGCCTCGTTCTTTAGATACTGAATTAATTGCAAAAGATTGTAATATAACTATTGTATTATATTGTTTAATGAAAGCATTTCAGAACAAGCGGTCTTCCAGCGACTATTTCTCTGTTGTTCCGCGGCTGCCCTGGGTGCAAGGTAATGAGAAATCAACAAGAAACCGAGGCCGAGACGCCTCGTTCTTTAGATACTGGAATTCAATTTTGCAAAAGATTGTAATATAACTATTGTATTATATCGTTTAATGAAAGAATTTCAGAACAAGCGGTCTTCCAGCGACTATTTCATCTGCTCGGCGGCTGCCCCGGGCGCAAGGTAATGAGAACTCATCAAGAAATCGAGGCCGAGACGCCTCGTTCTTTAGATACTGAATTAATTGCAAAAGATTGTAATATAACTATCGTACTAGATGTCGTGATGATATGCTCGAACAATAGTTTGAGATCGGCGTAAAGCGAAAACTTTATTGAGGCTATGTGGAGAAATGCAAATGACGGTACAAAGAAGTGACTGGTTTCCGCGAGGATTCGGATTCTGTTAGACTTATATTCAGCTTATATCTCTGATATTCGGCTATCCTGTGGAAGTCTTTAATCTACTAGTGAGTTAATCGCGCAGGGCTAATGTATAATGGAAATAAATCGGTACGGGTCGTTCGGCGCTTCAGCCGTTGGGCCGAACGAGGTCGGGTTTGTAGCCGCGGGCGATCGCGGCCCTGTAGCGGTGGTAGTGGCAGTTCACTGAAACACTGATGCATTTTTGTGACTGAGGCAAAGGTGTAGGCTTACCAGGGAGCTATGTTAGCAAATTTCAAACAAAATGAAATTTGGAGCGTGATAACTTTCTAAAACAAGGGCCTTGGTGAAAGTTGGAAACGGGTTCGGAATCAGCAAAAAAATTGGGACAATATAGGCTGGGTCCCGTACGAAAACTTCAAGTGAACCTTCAGTGGTTTGCTTGTTAGAGCAGTAAACTAACCGTGTGGCGCGCAGTTGAGCCGACAACGAATATGAGACTTCGGGTGGTCGTAAAGGTATCTGAAAGTCAGGCTAATGGTGCAACCGGGAATCGGATGAACTCCAGGCGTCTCATAAAGGGTGCTAAAAAGACCCCGTGTAGCGGAACCCAGTCGTGTCCGATTTTTATCGGTATATGTAGCTTAGTGCTTAATCAAACCCAAAGCCTTTGATTTTTTACCTACTGTGGCAAAACCTCACGTGGCTTTTTGACACGATTTGAGAAGGCGCAGCTGGGATTCGGTTAAAGTCGATTAAATATGTTCTTTTGGAAAAATTGAATTTATCCTGCAAATGCCTAAAATCTATTAAAAATTCGGGAATTGCGAAAATCGGAGAGAAATAAATACTGTATTACAAATATCGCGTGCCCCTTTTACCGAAAGCCGGTATTGCTTTGCCTATCACGTACTTGAAAGCTCTCTCGCAACTCCAGCACACCAGAGGACCGTAGTGATCGTAGAGCTTCTTGACGGACTCGTTGCAGTCTTGGCACTTCCCAGCCTGAAAACAGCAGGGATGTTTTTAGGCCACAAAACATAATGTGACAGAACCGTCCCGTAGAGCGCCCCGGAAAGAAACGAGCTAATGTTCTGTTTAACAGCGAATTTTTGTATTATCTTGGGCTTCGATGGTGGTTTGCATTTTTGGCATAAACTACCCAATAAAATTTTCCCATGTGGTTGTGTCTTTGTGCAGCTGTGACTTTCGAGCCGCGATTTGGGGTCTTCTCGCGTCTAAAATGCCCTAATTCTTGATGAACTGGGGTAATCGACTCTTCTGTTTCAGATTGCGTTCTCTGAGTTACGATAAAATAAAAGTTTATGAAGTTAAAGCCGGGTTTATACATTTCTGGGGCCGGCGGGACTCATTTGCATACCGTGAAGAACTAGAATTATCCTCATTCTCGCAAGGCTGTAGGCGCGTGTGGTCGGTGGAGGGGGGGGCCGGAGGGCCCGGAGCCGGACAATCGAAGTTTCACGCTAGGGCCCGCATTCCAGCATCCAACGCCGCGAAGCGGGTTTTGGGCGCCCTAATTTTTATTGGAAGGTATTTTTAGAAGCGGCGACGCGCCTTTTCGATAAATACAGCAACAAATTCCTAGGCAAATGCCAGAAACGTTACCGGGCGATGAATTGCAGGCCGTCCAGGACCACGGCGCACTGCGAGAACAGGAGCAACCTGCAACGACAGGCTGGAACCGGCCACGTGAAACAGTTATTCGTTGAATTTTGCCAAATTCGTGATGGCGATTACTCGTGTCAGCTCATAATAGCTTTGCTCTTACAATTCGCGCACCATAAACAGGGTTTCCCAATCAGAAAACCCCTCCAACTCGACGCAGATGTATCGGATCGGAACGATAATTAATCCATTCCGAAAGCCCATCAAACGGCGAATTTACAATAATCGCAATAACCATGCTCTTCTATAAATTTTCGATCCGATATCTCAGCCTGGGGGTGTTTTTTTTGACCCTGTGGGTTCCCCCCAAAACTCATCCGGTATTTGACCGGCTTTAATCCGTAAAATGCCGGCTTTTCGGAACATCATCCAAACGCCGCATGCTAATTATTTGCCCTTGGACGTGTAGGCTAACATGCGAAACTAAAAAACACCCGTTTATTCCGTATTCCTTATCAAAAACAGTGTAACGCGAGTCGGGAAGAGAGGCCTAGTTCGTGAAAAGGGTAGAAAGTCTTTAGAAGAGGATCATGGGGGTGGCATTTGGGGGTACGAGGAAGAGGCTGAATGGGAACTACGAGATCCGGAAATACTACTCAAACGCATCGAAACGGCCAAGAAGTCAACAAAAATCGCGAAACATGGGGGGACATCTTCAAATCCGTGTTGGTTCTTCTTTCGTGTAGTGGAACATTTCAGCGGCCGAGACAACGGCGGGCCCGCTGATCTCGGGCCTGAAAGGCAGAAGGTCAGGGAATACCGCTTCATCCAGCCATGGCTACCAAGGGAACGTCACGCGGACAGGCTGGAATTTCCAAAAACGCGGCTGGTCCAATTTTGATCATAGGAAATTTTGATTTTGCAAAACGCCTGGAAACAGACTATTCAATTAATTGTAATAAGGTCTTATCAACCCCCGATGTTAAGCGGAATGAGGGATTTAGCGCCGGAAATTGACGTTAATTGATGCAAAGTCCTAAAAAAGCCGAAAAATGAAGAGAAAGTGTTGGAAAAACAGTATTTTAGCAATAACTTGAAAAATACTGTAGCTAGTGGGTTAAAAGCTTCTGTGAAAGTTCCGCAACTCTGTTCAAAATTTCAAATGTATTGGACTTGAAATGGCAAAATGCCGAAAGCGAAAGCAGATCAAAAGATCGAAAAAGTAGCCCTTATGGTTGGGCAAAAACAGTTCAAGATGACCTTGAAATCGTTGTAACTTTTTAAGTAGTTCTATTCAGCAAAAATAGAAAACGAATATGAATTCCGAGAAAATCGCGATTTCGAAACGCCAACTTGACCTCTGTTCCTTTGTTAGCCGTCAAGAAATGCTGCGATCGGCAGCTTGGGGCTGGGATTAGGCGCGAGCTTCTTGGCCAGAATTAAGTTAACTGGGACCAAACCTACTTTTTTGGCCCGTCACGAATACCTTTTCCAAATTGCCGGCAACTTTTATTCAATTTGTGAAACTCTCAATTTACGGCGTGTTCATGCTGTCTTGAATTTTAACGTTAAAGCTGGCCGGATAACGGGCTTGCAGGTTAAAGCACGAGTGTATGGTGAGCAACATGTGCTTTTAGGCAAACGGCAAAAGGCAGCCTTTAGTGTAGGGAAGGGAAGAGAAGCTAGGGAGCCAAGAAGCCAATCAGCCAATCGGTCAGCACGCTGACCTTGAACTTTAGGGGCAAAAAAATCAGCAAAAATCTCTGACATGTTCTTCTACCTTCTTTTGCAAAACGGTATCGGAATTGGCAAAAAATCCCGCTACGCCTGGTCCTATTCCAAAAGTCAGGCCTAAGTAAGCGTCGTGTATTACGGTCAAAAAGAAAAAGAAAGAGAAAACGTGCGTGAGGAGGAGATAGTCCCAAGACGAATGTGAGAGAGTGGCAGAAAGACAAAGAAGCTTAGAGGTGGAGAGAGAGAGAGAGAGAGAGAGAGAGAGAGAGAGATAGAGAGAAAGCGAGAGAAAGCAAGAGAAAGAGGGAAGGAGATAGCGAGATAGAGAGATAAAGAGAGCGAGAGAGAGCGAGAGAACGATAGAGAGAGAGAATTGGTGGGAGAGAGAGAGAGCGAGAGAGAGGGAGAGAGAGGAAGAGCTGAAAAGAGTTCGGCGACGTTGAATAATGCGATCGATCAAGGCTGGTTTTGTCTGATTTGACCATTTCCGTGGTTTTCATGTACTTTATCAAAAAGCGACCAAAAAGACTAAATTAACCCAATCGAAAATGTACATTGTAGGGCCGCATCGGGATAGCTGGCGAAAAATTGTTTTCCCGCTAACCCCCTCCCCCCCCCGTGCTCCCCGGCCTAAACGGGACGCACCAGTTTTCCCCTCTACCTTGATAGATGTCATGATGAAAAAACGGAAAAAGCCATTCACCTCATTCGCATCAATCCCCCGACCGCGCCCGACATTTTGACCGGCGCCATCACGAACACCAGCGGCGCGGCCGCCGCGTCCACCTGCGCCGCCACCATCACCGTCAGGGGCTCGTGCACCACGAGCGCGACCGCGGCCGCCTCCTCCGGCACCGCCCCCGTCAGGCGAGCCGGGAGCACGGCCGCCTCCTCCTGCTCCGCCGCCCATGCCGCCGTTACGAGCCCGAGCACCGCTCCCTCCACCATGTCCGAGAGCCTGAAACGTGATCTGACGGAGCGATGCCCTGCACGTTCGGTAAGATTATCTCCCCCTCCCAGCCGGAAGCAAAAAAAGGAAGAATAGAAAAATTAGGTCTTGGGTACTTTAGACTTCGCGGGGGGGGGGGGCGAACAAACACATCATCTTTCACTCAAAATGACCAAGATGTCAAGTTTTCCAAACACTGTTACAACTTTTTTGTTTTTTGGAGAATTTATGTCTGCAATAAAGTTAAAATTTGTTAAAATAGTATAGACGGGTTTGCTATTTTATATATGATTAATAGGCCGAAGTGGACCTATAAGAAAAAAAGTACTGAGAATTCTTTCCCCTGGTTTACTCTATACTCAAGGACGAGATCTTGTTTATTAAATAATTTTGCATGCTTAGTATATTTGTCAATGCTCTTTCGAACGGGGGTGAAAATCGCGAAAGAGAATTGTGAAACGAAAATTTTGAGCCCTTCGGAGGGGGAAAGCGACCTATAGAGTCGCGCCCAATTTTTTTGTTGCTGTAAGAGGCACCAACACGGACCTCATCGTCGCTCTGCGACACCGAACGATGAACAACACGACGTTGACGCTGTCGACGAGGGGCACGAGCTTCGCGGATTTCGGGCTCGTCCGCGGCCTGTAAACAAAACAACTAGCGTGTAAAAATACATGGTGCCCCAGTACAAAGGGTCACGCTTACATTTCGCTATTTCTGGTCCAATTCACTTGAAATTGCGACAAGAGGTGCGCAAAGTTATTTAGGATGTTCACAGAAACCTCCAGCACACTGGCTACAGTAATTTTCAAGTTATTGCCAGCTTAAGCATTATTTACCGGGATTTCACCGGAATTGGGTCTCGGAATGTATGGCGTAAATGAAGAAAAAAGTTTATTAAGTGTTTTTAACAAGGTCAAATCGACGCCGATGTCAGAAGGAATTTGGGGCCGGAATTTTATGTTAATTGCGATATTAATTGTTTAATGGCGAAATACCAGTGTGACCTTTTTTTTATTGGGACACCCTGTGAAGATAATGATCTAGTGGATTAAATAAGCCGCGGTTGTTCAATTCTTTGAAACTCATCGATTAGCTTTTTCGGGCCAGTGACAGCCAGTTAGACTTTCGGTGCTCGCCGACGCAAAATTTTTGCCTACATGATCGATAAGCTGGCGGGGACGGGGGATCACAATTGGCTGTCCGCCCTCCGAAGCCGTCGATCGGGGCTCGACAGTGGTTTCCGAAGAACTCTGAATTTAGGATGTTGGGGTATCATCGTCGGCTCTTATTGGACACGAGCACCGCCCGAGGATCTTTGCAAATTGGCAGTCGAGTCCGATTTTTACGATTTAGGTATCTGAAAGCTCTCGGAAAGGCGAGCCCAGCACATCTCACCTATTTTTGCAATTTTTGTAAATGGCCTGCAAAAAGCTGTCGTTGGGCTGCCAGTAAAGGCATAAAAATCCTTAAATTGTGAATTTTGGGAAAAACCTTTGGTCAAAAAATCATCTGGAACGCAGCATTTTTCGCAAAAATTAGTAGTAAACGCTGGAAAAATTTCAAAATTTGTGAAGCGGGTAGCGTGCTGGACTCGCCTTTTCGAGAGCTTTCGATAGATACCTAAATCGTAAAAATCGGACTGGACTGCGGACTGCGCTAGGTAGGGTCATTTGTGGACACCTTGTACACGCACTACTAATAACTACGATACTAATCACTACTTCGCACTTAATATTACAATTTCGGACAGTTTTCGGGAATAATGCACGCTACATTTCCTTTGTAGCCGATTCCTTTCTAATGTAAGTAGAGGAAGTGTTTCTACCATTTTTGCTATTTTTCTTACCGACAAAAGCTTCACAAATGTTCTCGGAAAACACAAAACATGTTTTTCATAGGATTTCATACTAACACAAGCAAATTCGGCCCCTTGATAAATGTCGTTCCCCTTTTCGGTAATGTGGGCGCACCAAACGTGGCTAAAATCCTCTAAATTATACTGTCTTCTCAAGATTCATGCTTTCTTGGAATCAACAGCTCCTACAGCTCCTAGCCCCCTGACATCCAGAATTCTCCCGCCAACACCCAGCCAATCAAAAATAATAATAATTTAGGGCAAAACGCACCGATTGGGCAGAAAGCGCAGGTGAATGGATTGGGAAGGGCGACACGGAACGCGAGCGCGTATTCGCTGTGAAGACGTTAGATGCCGTAGAAGCAGTCATCGGTGACGCCTAAGTGGGCGTTCTATTCAACTGCTAAATCGGCAAACTACCGGTGGGAACCTTCCAGGGCGACTGGAACCGCCTGCAAAAAAAAATTGAAAAATAAACCGAAATATTCCTCCTACATCCACAGCGGCGCGACCATCACGCAGCGCCAGACGCCCTTCAAGCTCATGGGCCTAAATAACAGCAGTCATAGGTGGGCTATATAATTTTGGAATGAGACAAATACCCACCCTCTGACGCTCGAGTTCGGTGGCTAGGGACAGCCGGGCTTGCGCCGACAGGGCATCGTTAAACTGTAAAAACAAAATGAGCGTATGGGACACAATGGAGGAGGCAAATCAAGGATTAGAACACGCACCGAGGGGCTTAAGCCTTCAGCCCACGTTAAGGCCGAATAAAGTGCATTTATTAGCCCTCGTGCGGCAGCCGTAGCGCGTCCATTTTGCTGAAATAGCCAGCAGTGAGGTTGTAAGGTTGCAACGGCTTATGATCCCGTGCTTGCGCCGTGGGAGGTAAATCGAATCGGTCCTCAGGTCAATAACTAATTTACGGCGCTGATCGTTTTTGTGATATATTGCAGATCCCGAAAATGGCCCGAACATACGCTTATCGGGTTGTCAAAAATAGGGTGGCGGGCTTTTTCTGGTTGGAAAGTTTGGTATCAGCTTAGCGTAGCCGCAAAAGTTGCACTAAAACTTTCTGCGTGGACCCGTGTTTTTTCCGGTTGCAGCCACTTTTGCATGATGTCGAAAAAATTGGTTTAAAGCACAAAAATTCATAAAATCGCAAAAACAAAAACCCGCATACTGCTTTCTGGGAACGAACGCCGATCGATCGCAAAACAAAGCAAAAATAAAATCCGGTTTCCACAAAGCGGGACATGCGAAAAGCTGAAAGCTAATTCTGGTAAATCATCAGTTGCTCGCCAGGCAGTTCACTTTGCCCTTTTCTTTGTTTGGTTTTGGTTTGCTTTTAGATGGTTTTTGATGATTTCAGAAAGCCGACTTCTTCGGGATGATGGAAAACTGGCTGCATCCTTATAAAACACGATTCGATGCGAAAAATTTTGGTTTATATTATTTTTTAGGAAAACTTTGAGACAAAAGTTTTTTCCATCCCCTTTCAGCAACTTTGCCCTTACCTTCTTGGAATTGTTAGCGCTACACAAGGCTTATGAATATGGAATTAGCGCAATATCTCCCCAGCCCCCGTCACGATATGCTTAACCTACGACAGTCAGTGATTCTTGAGTGGGCACGTCGTTTCCGGCTGTTCCCGAGTGGCGGCCGTCAGCAATTCGACAATATATTAGCTGTAATTCCAGGCGTTAGGCGGTAAATTTGTGCTTCTCGCTAACCTATGCATCCCTAATATCTATGAACATAAACTCAACATCAAAGTGGTGAATTTCACCAACCTAGCAAGGGGTCTGTCTGAGGCTCTGAGACTCAGTTCCCGCTCCAAATTTGTGAAAACATCAAATAAAATATAGGGGAACACGATGCAACAAAATTTTCTGCTATCGGGCGTTTTTGCTTAGTCAACTTTTCATTTTAATTTTTTTATAGCAACATGCCGCAAAAAATGTAATAATTTAAACTAAGACTTTTTCATAATTTTTTTCATTATTTTGGGGGTTTCTGACCGCGCGCTATCTGAATCCGAAGAAACCGAAACTGTAGCCGCTTCATCTTAGAGTTGAATTCGGCTTCAGACCGACAGACAGACGGACAGACAGACAGACACTATAGCCTTTTTATTATAATTGATTGGTTAAAAACTATGGTCTGAAGACCCTGTTGCGTTTCACCTAGGGTTGTTATATGACTTGAGTCGGCACCGACTTGCGTCGGAAAAATTATGAATCGGAAGGGACGGATTGAAATGTTGACGATTCAATTCGCAAACGACTGGAGTCGACTGACGAACTGAATCGTATGCTTTTAAAATCGTGACTCGCGATTTAAAATCGGCGCGATTCAAATCGCACCCGACGCGAGTCGCCAAACGATTTGAGTCGGAATGGGGTTCTTTAGATTCGGGGGGAAGTATTCCCGGGGAAACCAATTTTTTCCTGGTGGTCCCGGTGGACCTAGTAATCAAATATAAAGTGTTTTCGAATTGTTTTTAGTAAGTTTTAACTATATTTAAAGCAGAATAACTTTCAGAAAAATTTAGAAAAATGTTTGAAAAAGTCGAAAATTTGGTCATTTTGGGTCTATTTTTCGACCTAATTTTTAATTTTTTACATTTTTTTTGGTTAAAATGTGTGTAGTTTTTATGCACAGGGATAGTTAAAAACAATTTAGAAACGCATCCGCAATTTATACAAAAATCTAGGCTTTCGCCGAAAAAAATTTATTTTCCCCCCCCCCCGGGAATCCTAAAGAACCCGGAATGGAAATCAGTCGGATGGAACGACTTGAAATCGCGACGACGCAAGTCGCCGACGACTCAAGTCGTTTGCGTTTTCACGTCGTCGGAAGTGAATTTATGCAAATATATGTTCATGGAAATAATCTTGATCGACCAACTATATTCTTTTCTGAACAGAGAGACGACGCCGGACTACTCTTTACGCTACGATAGGACAAGGGATCAGGTCCCACCGACCCTCTTCGATAGAAAGCTGCACCAAAACTGCCGTAAATAAAGTAATTGATTAAGCTCGAGCTGACGGAGCCCAGGGAGCCGGGTGCTCAGGGAGCTTCTGGCGGTATATTAAAGCATCAAAAACGTTTTTGAAGTGTCATACTATTCTGAGTATGTTACTACAACATTTCATACGATTTACGGCTTTTCTAAAGTTATGCTGCAAAATCAAATAGAGGATCAAATCGCAGCGCGAAGCGACCTTTTTCCAGTAGTTCACGGATAAACAGTTTTGGTACAGCTTTCTATGGAAGAGGGTCGGTGGGACCTGATCTCTTGTCCAATCGTAGCGTAAAGAGTGGTGCGGCGTCGTCTCTCTGTTCAGACAAGAATATAGTTGGTCGATCAAGATTATTTCCATGAACATATATTTGCATAAATTCACTTCCGACGACTTGAAAACGCAAACGACTTGAGTCGTCGGCGACTTGCGTCGTCGCGATTTCAAGTCGTTGCATCCGACTTATTTCCATTCCGACTCAAATCGTTTGGCGACTCGCGTCGTTTCCGAATTGAATCGTTAACATTTCAATCCGTCCCTTTCGACTCCTAATTTTTCCGATGCGAGTCGGTGCCGACTCAAGTCATTTGCATTTTCGCCGACGCAAGTCGGTGGCGACTCAAGTCATATAACAACCCTAGTTTCACCCCATAGGCACATCCACAAACGCCCCTCCCATCGTTTCTGTGGTGTGGTGGTATGGTGCAGGACCGAGGGGCAGTGGCTAGAGGGTTCGTTTCTCGCCCTTTCTACTTTTTGCTTATTTACCTTTTCAACGTCTCCTGGCTCTGGAGGGGCTAGAGTGTGCTTATGTTCCGATTTAGTCAAATTACGCTTCTAGGGGTTCTACCGATCCGAACGATACAAAGAAAAGGTTTCGTCCATTACTAGAGACTTCAGACCGTAATTTTTAGCCCATTTCTGTAGAAAAATGAAAATGAAAACCTGATTAAGCAAAAACCGCCAGCAGAACATTTGTATTGCATCGTGTTCCCCATATTTTGTTTGAATTTTCCGACAATTTTGAGCGCGATCTGACATGAGCATGTGACCTAAGACACATTCCATGAAACCTTTGAGAAATTGGTCAAAAAAATAGTTCAGGCCGCCTCCCGACCTTTGACTATTTAGATACCTATCGAATGCTCTCGGAAAGCGAGTTCAAACCGTTTTTTCTATTTTGGAAATTCCGGAATTTTTCTTGGAGTCGCTCATATTTTTGAGAAAGCGTGTCCTTTCCGCCTGAAAAAACGCCGGATTTCGTGCAAAAAATTCCGGAATTTCGAAACTGGGAAAAAGTACTGGACGCGCCTGTTCTAGAGCTTTCGATAGATACCGAAATCGTCAAAATCGGAGGGACAACCTGTAAGAGACAGCAAAGCTTTGGCACGTTAAGAAATCGAAAGAGTGAATTCCCGTAATGTGAAGCGAATTTCCCACCGAGGGCAGCACAGGATTACGCAGAGCACGGGGTTGGCGAGGATCCGGCGGGTCCGGTTGTTGCGCTAGAATGAATCCATTGAATGATGTCGTAGAAAAACGAAATAAGGGAAAAGAAACAACACACAAGAAGAATCTATTTTGCCCCAAAAAACGTCGCCAGTCCGCCTACACAATCCCGAAAGTATTTGAATCACCCTCAATATTGAAAAAAAATATAAATTTTCCGACCAACAATGGACAGGTTCCCATCAGAATCCTACTAACCTAAAAAATATACTTCACTATATAATTTTTTTTTTTTTTTTTTTTTTTTTTTTTTTTTTTAAAAAAATTTATTTTTTTTTTTTTTATAAAAAATTTTGGGGGAAGGAAAAATATAATAAAAATGGTGTCTGTGTGTGTGCGTGTGTGTGTGCCACTTTGCATGCAACTTCCGTCAGCGTGTCCGGAGGATATCTCAAGAAGGGAAGGGCTGAAGGGGGCGTATGATACGTCATTAGACGCGTAATTGTCTGTCGATAACTGCACGCATATCAGATTTTTCAAAATAGATTGTTTTCGACATTAAAATTAAGTTTTTCCTTAAAAATTGGACACCCTCTTTGTTAGCAAAAATTAGAATACGCCGGAAGTGGGATCAGCCTATATAATCGGGGAGAGGACGCGCTTTTCATTTTTTTGACATCAAAGTGCGGAAGGATTATGCAAAGCCTGGGTATAGGGTTGGACGGGGCGAGGGTTGAAAGGTCGCGAAGCGGCTTTTCAACCCTGCTCACATCTAAGCGCCAAACCGCGGGCCAAGGGCTGAATCGTTATACGAAAAATGTTGACTTTCATACTTTTTTCGATTGTTTTCCCCGCTGAATACAATTGCATTTTACGAAAAACCCAAATAAAATTCTATCCATATGATTACCAGGCATTTCTGGGCTCATGGAAAAAGTGTTTCATGGAACCTGCGGTCACCCCGATAATGCGAAAGAACTAATAGCCATCGACCCAACGAAATAGAAAGTACGATGAAAAGGGGGCGGGGGGGGGGAAACATGCGGCAATATGCGCCTGACTGACCTTGCTCTGGCGCGGGGACAGTGCCGGGCGTTCGAAGATGGTAAGCCAGTTGATCCGCACGCCGGCGAAACTAAATTAGTGTTGGTAGGGTTGAGTGGCCTCTTCGCTACTCCTTGAAATAAAGCAGCAGTAACTCGTCGAGCCCGCGCATATATTCCGTGGTACCTCCATCCCTGAAATGGCGAGGTCAGAGCAATCGAAAGTTATGGGATTTCTTGGCTGCACTGACAAGAGAAATGTTTTTGACCCAAGTGGCAAATCGCTATCTAACATAAATCAATTGATCCTACCACCTAAAAAATAGTGTTTGTGTGTGGACACTTTGCATAAACGGCTCGAAAAAACCGGGTTACCAAGATCTCGGGAAGGGGGAAGAATTTATGGACCAGGTCGAAAGGTATTTAGGGTAGGTCGAGGGCGTAGATTACTGCAACCTTATCAGATTTTTAATAAAATGACGATTTATACCTTATTTTAGCTATTTAAAAACATATGGAAATAACCTCATTTGCATACGAGGATTTCCGATGAGAATCCCGAGTTCCCCGAAAATCTGATTCCCGAAAATCTGAATTCCGAAAAATCCGAATCCCGAAAATCCGACCCGAAAATCTGATTCCGAAGGGTCTGAATCCCGAAAAATCCGTTTTCCGAAAATCCGATTCCCAAAAATCTGAATCCCGAAAAATCTGAGGCCCGAGAATCCAAACCCTGAAAGACTGCGCTCTGAGAAACCAAATTGGAAGGAAACAACGTTAAAAGTTAACTTTATTCAATTCAACACCTTGGAATTCGCCCAGGAACTTCAGAAAGGGTTTTGGTACAATTCAAATAGGCGGCGGGGGGATTTCGGCGGGGGAAAAGTGGGACTATAGGCAGCAGGGGTGCCTAGAGAGCAGGCGGGCACTGAGACGCAGAGTGCCCCCTAAATCTCGCCTCCCGCCTATTTGAATTGTACCAGAGTTTTTTTCAGTTCACAAATCGCAGATTCTGCAGATTGAGATTTTTCGGGAAATAGATTTTCGGGATTCAGATTTTTCGGGAATTGGATTTTCGGGAAACAGATTTTCGGGATTCAGATTTTTCGGGATTCAGATTTTTCGGGAATCCGATTTTCGGGAATCAGATTTTCGGAAGTATGCGAAGCCCGCATACGGGCGTTAGGAAGCTCATTTCGATTTTGTCACGCCTCAGTCGGTCGCTTTCTCTGATTATTAGTGGAGAGGTTGGCGCCAACTCGCTCAGAATTATGGGTGCCCAGCCTCGAAAGACCTCAGCGTTAGGCGGGTGCAAAGCCGCGTAGCGGCTTTGCACCCTGGTAGAGAATTGAAAATAAAGATGAGGTTTAAATATTTGTTTATGCGGAACTCCCCTCGTTTAAAAGCTATTTGAGTTTTAAAGTCGTTTTTGCCCAACTTTTGGATTTCCAAACCCAAATATTTTGGCCTTCCGGCTAGATTTTGCAAAACGAACCCTGCCATTGTGTTTAGAATTTTTTATTTATCGAATCAGCAGCCCAAATCCAAGGTTTTGGAAAATGGGAAATTTCGAAAAAAGTTTGCGATGTTTGGGCTCCCTTTTCTCTAGGTAAACTTGGTCATTTTCATGTTGCTCCAGATTCTTGCAAGGGGCCTAAAGAGGCGACCTGGCACTAATGAAATACCATTTGTATCAGAAAAATTCTCTATCAGTAAGGCTATTTCAATCCAACTTAGAATCACAAACCGAAAAGTTTGATTGTGGGAAAATAGTTTCCAGGAACCTTGGAAAAATCTATTAACTTTTTAAAGAAGGTTCGGCAAAAACTAATATTTAAACCTTATCTTTATTTTCAATTCTCTATCGATTGATGTCTGTTACATCGCGATTTGCCACCTAGGTCAAATGCACTTCCCATTGTGAATATTTTAGGGTACTTTACAGGGTGTCCGAACCAAAAAACGCCCTCTCTCACTCGACGCAGCAGTATCGGAACGGACTGATAGTTACGCCATTCGAAAGCCCTTCAGAGAGCAAGTTTGCATCAATCTCCAGGACCATATTCTTAAACGGGCCATTCTACCTAGCACTTAAAACAATAACGAACGGCCTCTCGGCGTCTGATTAACGGCTAGCTCCGCCCATTTTGCCCACAAAAACTCGAAGCGAATTAGCCCGTATGCAACGCGGAGGAATACAGAAAAGTACAAAAATGTACAAAATGGCTTGTAAGTGATGCGTTTAAATAAAAAGCCGTTGTGAAGCTTGTTGTAAACTTGCGATTTTAAGGACTTCTGAATCTTTATGAATCATATAACTACGGTTCCGATCCGAAACTTCTGCGTCAAGTTAGAGCGGGATGTGTTTTTATTGGGACACCCTGTGGTTGATTTTCAGTGACCATTATTTTATAGATGTTGGCGGAAGTTGATTCGATCTACCGTATTTTCCCTAATATAATCCCGCAGGTTATATTTTTTCCATCAGGGTAAAATGGTTGGATTTTTAATCACAAAAGAATTTTTGCTATAGGAAGCTTAAAATCACTCACAGTCGCGCTAAGAGACTTTACTTTATCCTCCCAGCAGGAAGTTCCAAAAATGTTTTTTTTTGCTATAACTTTTTTTATTTCACACTATTTTGGGTCGCCTAGGCTCTCATAGTACAGGGTGTCCCATAAAAAAGCAACCCTCCCGCATTTCGCCACATTGCATCCGATCTGTCCCAAAATTAGACCAGAGGTGTAAAAGGACCTTAATAACCACAATCCTGAGTTATAGCCCGCTAGCGACAGTAATTTTCGAGATACAGCAAAAATAAACTTTATTAGCCGTTTTTCAGAAGGTTTTCGTCGGAATCGGCCCTTCGAATATGAAGTGAAAATGAAGCGGCAGGCCTTCTTTACCACTAGAAATTTTTTCCTCAAAATTCATTAAATAACCGTTGATTTCAACAATTTTTGTAACCGAAAGTCGCCCCCGATATTAAGCGAAATTAGGGATTCGCAGCCGGAAGTCGATGCAAATCGATGCAAAGTCCAAAAAGATAGCCGGAAAAACTGTTAAGAATCGCATAGAAAACAGTATTTTTGGCTATAACTCGAGAACCAGTGTAGCGATCGGGCTATAACTCAGGATTGTGGTTATTAAGGGTCTGATACACCCTTGTGCAAAGTATGGGACCGGCCGGATGTAATACGGCGCATGCCGGAGGGGTGCTTTTTTATGGGACACCCTGTATATTTTTTTTGCTGCTCTATCGAATCGCGTAGCCAAAATCTCGACAAATTTCGTAACTTCCAGCTGGGGGTATAGTAAAGTCTATCCAAAATCGCAGTGGCAAGTATAAAATTCGCCTATTTTTTGCGTCGGAACCTGAGTTAAGGAGGGGGGGGGCTTATAATGGAGGGAGGGGCTTATATTAGAGGAAATACGGGTTCTTGTGTGTTCCGGGGGGGAGGGGGGAGGGCCGGGGGAAACGAACTTTTTTCGGCCCCGTTTCTAAATTGTTTATAGTTATTTTTAAACATAAAAAATTTACAAAATTTAATAAAAAATTTAATTTTAGGTCGAGAAAGCAATTTTTCGACCCAAAAATGGCCAAATTTTCTACTTTTTCAAGCGTTTTTCTAACTTTTTAAAAAGATTTTCCTATTCAAATAGGCTTAAATTTTGCTAAAAACAATGTGAAAACACTATCTATTTGTTTACTATCCCCACTAGAGCCGACGGGAAAAAGTTGGTTCCCCGGAATACACAAGAACTGAAATACGGTACACAGGCTGTGCATACGCAGGCACGCAGATTGGATGGCGCTTAAACTGGCTAAACTGAGTTTTTGATCAAAAAGCGTGTGCTTTCGCATGAAAAATGCCGGAAGCGAGCAAAAAAATTCGGGAATTTCTAAAATCTGAAAGACCACCAGAACACCCTCTTCACCTACTTCGAAAAGCAGTGTACCAAACGCAATGACCAGCTGGGCCAGAACCGGCAGCCCTCCACGCAGCTGACGGCGTACAGCCCGCCCATTACCAACCTGAAAGCGTGAGCATTAAAGCCATCTCCCGATATGGTTCGAGAACACGCTCCACGACACAGCGCCTATCTAAGCGGCCCTACAGTCTGTCTTAATAAACACCCTCAACATCTCGCGCAACCCAAAAGGGTTTTTAAGTATTCACGGGGGTGTTTTTTGAACAGGCAACACAACAGTAACCGTGCAAAGTTCTAAAAACTCAAAAATATGATCATTTCGCCTCAAAAAATATTTTCGGCCAAAAATGAAATCTTTACAGAAAATTTAAGATAAAAAAATTTGGGGAATCCCAGCGAATCCCCACGAATCTTACAAAAGGATAAATCTTACGATCCGTTTTTCATATGGTTTTCATCGGGGTCGGACCACTGGATATTAGGTAAAAATGATTCGCCAACTTTATTCTGTTCTGCCTTAGAAAATTTTCCCTGTTAAAGATCTCCAGAGAATACGGTAACTTAAATGATTTTCACAACCCGAAAATTCTCACTACATTACGCGAAATCAGCAATTCATAGCCGGAAAACGATGCAAATCGATGTACAGTCCGAGAAATTGCCGAAAAATGGCTGGAAGCTTATTCTACCTCATCATCATGGTCGAGGACATAGACAGGAGGCGGGACAGGGGGGCCGTACGGGTTCGGCGGCCATCCAGCCATTTCCGGCTGTGTGTATGAGTTGATATCTACCGAATAACATTTGTGAAACCGTCGCTACCTGACCTACCGGGCCTGTGAAGATGAAAGAAAGGTGGGGATGAAGTGGAAACAAGGCCTTGAATTTCCGGGTAGTGAAGGAATTCAAGCCACACTTGCTTCTTGCTCACGCGCCGGAAGCGGCAATCCGGCCGGAATCCAATACCCGTATGCTAATTAGGAGACGATACGCCTGGTCTAGTGTGAAACTTTTATACGTGCGTCGGAGGTTGTCAAAATCAGGCCTAGCCCGGCCATAGTATAGTTGTAAACTGCATTCAAAACGATTTCTTTTCGCGGATATCTGCTCTTCTTTTGTTAGCCACGGGCGCTGCTCTCAGACAGTCTCGCATGGATCGAGAGAGAGATAGGGCGAGAGAGAGCGAGACAGACAGAGAAAGAGGGGAGAGAGTGCGACAGAGAGAGGGGGCGAGAGGGTGCTAGAGAGAGCGAGAGGGCGAGAGAATCGGAGAGAAAGAGCCAGAGAGAGAAGTGACAGAGAGAGAGAGAGCGAGAGAGAGAGAGGAGAGAGAGAGCGAGAGAGAGAGGGAGCGAAAGAGAGAGAAAGCGAGAGAGGGAAAGATCGAGAGAGAGAGTCCCGTGTGGATGCGAACTCTATGTTGGGGAGAAGTCCGTGCTTTTTTTTGTGGCGGGGGAAGTGGCCTTCGAGTCTGCTCACCATTTTCTTGCACAAGAAAAGCTGCATCGATTTTTTGGCCCGCTGCCGGCCCGAGATAACGACACCTAGAAGCCAATTAGTAAGGCGATTGCTTCACTGGTTCTTTTTGCGACGCGAAGTTCTACGTTTGTGCTTTTATTTCTCTCTTCACTTCTCTATTATTTCGAATGGCAAAATACGGCGCGATTGTGTCCGAGGGATCGTTTGGCACCGTTTATCACTGGAATGACGGCAAGACGTTAGTTTCTGAAACTCTTTTCTGATGGTCGGAGGTTTTAGTTCGATCGCCGTGAAATTACTGAAAGATCGACAGCGATACGATGTTTATCAAGCCGAGCTGGAGATGCTAAAAAAATTGAGGCATCCGAATATCGTCGAGTATAAGGACATGCCGCTCGGGTTTTTGCCCGAACCCGGTGATTTGCTGATTTTTTCGGAATATTGCGAGCATCGATCTTTGCGGGATGGTAGGTGGTACTTTTACGAAAATTAATGTGACCTCGAGGATATTAAATTCGGGTTCTGGTTTTTCGGTGGCATCCAAATTTTTCACTTTGATTCTCTACGACCCTATTACAAAACATAGAACATTTTTATAGAATTTACGCAGTTTTTAGATATAAAACAATGTATAAATAAGAAAAATTTTGGCAAAGTCGGGCTTTTTGGTCAAAAATGTACGAAAGTGACTTAAACCGATAAAATTTTCAGATTTTCGAAGTTAAAAGCCTATTTGTCTCTTTCTCGCTCTCTTTCTTTAACTTTCTGGCAAGGAATACTACTAAAAGCACTATGAAACGTATACAATACCAGCGCCCAAAACCCACTTCGCGGGCCCTGAGCGCTGGAATGCGGTCTTTCCATGAGAAATTTGACTTTCCGATCGCTCGGGTCCTTCGGACCCCTCCGCTCTCCCGACCACACTCGCGAGTGCAATTGGCAAGCATGAGGAAATTTGTATTTTTCCCATAATGCAAATTAGCCCTGCGGGCCCCCAAAAATTAGTAAACTCGGCTTTAGCTTTGTAAAATTGTCTTGTATCAAAACTCTGACAACACCATTGGAAAGAGACGGGTCGCTTACCCCCATTTGAGCGAGGATTAGGATGTTTTATACACGGGAAGGCCCTCAAATCGGGCTTCGAAGTGACAGCCGGACACACACACAGAGATACACCCCAAAATTATATAAGGTAGGATGATCAACAGGTTAGTCCCCTTTTCCCAAATTCCCCGTTAACGGAACAACCCCAAATTATGATAGCCACAATGATAATTCTCAGCCACCCTTCACATTCAGTGATCCTTTCTACCAAATACATCTACCAACTGCAGAATGTGCAACTATGGTTTTACGACCTGTTTTCCGGACTTCATTATTTACAAATCGGACATGCGGCGGTGCATCAAGACGTGAAGCCGCAAAAGTAAGTCCAGAACCCCTCGCTGATAGTTATGCCCAGGCGCAGGTTTCGGCTTGAGCATAAGCTTAGGCGTAGGCTCAGGCTGCGGCTTAGGGTTAAGATCCAGCTTAGGCTTAGGTTTAGGCGCAGCCGGGGGAAGGGTTTAACCCTTGCTTCAAGCTTAATCCTAGGCGATTCGCTAGCTTCATTTTTATAGCCTATTAATATCCGACGACTTTGTGCTGAAGATTGGAGACTTTGGGACGCTGAAAATCCTGGACAAGGCATGTCGCTACCCCTCGATGCTGGTGGGAACGCCAAATTACGTGGCGCCTGAGTATCTTAATGCCCGGGAAGTGATCCTAACCGCTGAGGTAAGTTGGTGCTGTCGAACCGCAACCAAAATACAGGGTGTCCCAAAAAAAAAATCCTCCCCTAGCCGGCCGCAGACGTGTCCGATTTTTACGATTTAGGTCTCTTTTTTTTATTATTTATTTTTACGATTTTTACGCCTTTCCGAGAGCTTTCGATAGATACCTAAATCATAAAAATCGGACACGTCTGCGGCCGGCTAGGGGGGGGATTTTTTTGGGACACCCTGTAAGTTCTAGGACCTCTTCAAGGCCGACATCTATGGCGCGGGGCTGGTGCTGTGGGAGATGATCACACGCAGGTGAACGGGAAGCTTGTAATCTTCTCAAGGGGACCTTAGAGAGGTCAGTTCGGCATCAGAAGCTCGTGATTTCACCCTGGGACAGCATGTTCCGGGGCCGCTTCAAACCGTTTTATCTCGGTAGGTTGCCTAAAAAAATGTTCAATTGACGCTTACTCCCTGTTCTCTAAAGCGTCTAGAAAAGTTCTTGATACATTTGGTGTGCTTGCAAGCATTACGCCATGTAAATTCATTTCAGCGAAAAGACTTTTTGGAAAGAATCGTCATGTGAATATTTAGCTGTTACCGTTTTTCTACGATAGCCCTTGCATTTTGATTGGAATACCTCGAATTTTCCAACTTATGCCTATAATAAAAAAAGCTTGATTTTTGCCTTTAGAGCCCCTTTAAGAAAAAACAAGAAAATTCAAAAAAATTTTCAAAATTCAAAAAATTAAAATTCAACTAAGAAAATTTTGGCGACGGAATCCCTTTACCAGAAACATGGTAGACAAAACGCTTTTGCGAGTAGCCTGAGCATCGCGAGATTTCAGATGTGTTGAAAAGACGTTCAGCACACGTGCGACTTGCAAGGAAATGTACGAGAAAATCAGCGAATTTGCAAACGTAAGTAAATTAGGCTGACGAAAGACCCGAAGCTATTGACGTTGAGCGGCGATTTATTAGGCTCTTGCCGGACTAAACAGTTCTCCAAGCTTAAGCTAATAAAGCAAACAAAGCTTAGCCTAAACGCAAGCTTAGTCAAGCCGCAGCCGAAGCCTTAGCCTAAGCTAGGCCTAAGCAAAGCTAAGCATAAAAATTTTGCCCCCCGCCAACTTCAATAGCTCCAAATATTGTTAAGTCATTTAGATCCCACGAAACCAATTCCGTCCCCAATCCAATTCTACCAAGAATTACCTCGTGGACCCGATCACACAATGGGCTTTTGAAAATATGCAAGCCCCGGCCGGGGCATGCTCCTGGATGGATGGTGGTGAATACGTTCCTCCGGAAAATGTTGCCGACAACTGCGTGGAGTTTGAGGAGTTTATGAAGAAAGTGAAGGCATCCCCGAACTTTGATGCATGGACGATCAAGAAGCGCCTGTTGGTATGAATTTAGTGCAAGAGAGATTCCAAATTTCCAAAAGTTCCAAAGGAGAGATATCAAGAGATTCCACAAAAAGCGGAAGTACGAGGGGATAGCGAAAATCTCGACCGCCAAAATCCCAAAAGGGCAGTACCTCTACAACCAAATTCCGACGCGTAACGATCGATCGAGTCCTTGTTTCTATACAGAATTCCGGTGTTTTAGCATATCGGGGCCCTGGCTGTCGGCATTTTATTTTTCCGAAATATACAGTGTCGGGATTTTGACACGTTGCGATTTCGGCTCTCGGGATGTTGATCTGTCTGATTTTTACCTCAAATTTACTTGCCATCCGATACACTTTTTAGGGTCCTCTCGACAACTATGTCAAATTTCCCGGAATCCCCCTCGATGATGTCAAGGACATCATTTTCGATGACAAGAATCCAGGGAAGATCCGAGAAGCCGTTGTTGAAGCCACACTGCCTCATTTATCTGAAGTTTCTTGTATGGAACAACGAGACTTCCTTGAAGACGTCGAAGCCGAGAAGAAGAATTATCTGGAGAATGGCGGAGACGCGCTCAAAACCGAATCCGTGCAACTGTCGTGGTACCTCCAGCGAAGGTTCTTTCGGCTCTTTCGCATTATCGGGGGGGCCCACTTGCCTTATTATGATCCCTTTTTCAAGTGTCCTAAATTGTTTTCTACTATTCCTAAACGTAAAAGCTTTGCAAATTTTAAGTAAAAAAAATCGATAGTTTACTAAAAAAGCCGATTTTTACCTAAATTTCGACTTTTTACAACTATTGTTAAAGTTTTTAGATATAGTTCTATATTATTAAGAACACTACAAAATTGTCTATTAACTTACTAGGGATTTCTATACTCCTGCAAAAAAAATAGGTTAAATGTTAATACAGATATCTTTTAGAAACCTCTCACCACATCTAAATTATGTGATGGCACTCCACGGCTTCGACTACGAACTCCAAAACACGGTCATGTTCTTTGCGTTCGACGTGATGTGGGAATGCCTGCGAGATGATGGCCGTCTTGCGCCGCTTGATCGCTACAAATTGGCCACCATCGCTACCAATCAGCTCCAGGAGCTGGAGAAGATCTTTACGCGGCGACTTTTGTTCCCGATCTACCATTACGTCTCTCCGCGCGAGGAATGGATCCTGATTGAAGAACCGGGGATATTGTTTTTGAAGGGCTTTTCGAAAGCTCGAAAGGATTGGCGGGAAGATCCGAACATGTTCGACGCGCAAGAAAAGCAACCGATTGGTAAGGTTTTTAAAGGGATGGGCAAGACGGGGCTATGGATTTTTCGGAGCAGATTCTATAACGCCGCAATATGCGCCGTGCACACCACGCTCACGCAAAATGAGTAGCGTAGTGTCGCGTAGTTTACCGCTCCCGGAATACGCACCGCGCACGGAGCGTGATCACTGGTCAGAAATGTATGTTTGTATGGATAAACTTTCCGGGCAGGCACTCAAAATTATACTTGGAAATTAGTCAGAACCTTAGCCCAAAACCCGCTCCGCGGGTTGTGGACGCTGCAATCCGTGGTTTGCAGAAATATTTGATTTTTCATAGCTACGGTCCTTCGGATTTCGGACCCCTCTCCTCCCCCCGACCGCACGCGCACGTGCAACTGGCAAGAATCAGACTCCCCCAACAAGCTGCATTTTCAGACCTTCAAGACATACTGCGCGCTCTAACGAAAGAAGTGGCACTTTTATTGCGCGGAAATCCGTATCAACAACGCGTCTATAACCGCATGCTGGACCACAAATCACGCCAGCAATATCAACGTGAAACGAAGAACAACCTTCGGAAAACCGACCCTTTGCGCATCAACGTGCCCCACGAAAACCATCTAATCGAATACGAAGATGACGACGAGTTTCGAAAAGTATTTGATGATTATGAAGGGCCCTTCAAAAATTATTTCTTCTTTTTCAACGCGAGCCGCCGCGTAGAAGTGTTAGCCTGACCCGGAGTGCTCGAAGAGTGTGAGTTTGGCTTGATTTTTTAGTTTTCGTCTTCAGACTTTCGGAGATCCTTTTGTGATTGTTTAAAAGGGGTTGGTTATAACTAACTGATAAAATGTCTTTTTTCAGCCTACCCCGCAAACGTCCCACCCGAACTTGCCGTCCACTACTTCAGCTGTGCCACCGAAGTTGAACAAAATTTCATCAAAATGCACTCCGTCATGGATCGGTCACTTCGCTACTTGCGATACTTCAAATCTATCGAATCTGCGCTATGTGTACGATACCTCCTGGAAGACCTCTTGGCCGAAGGGGTCCCGATGAAGGAATTTGATTTCCATTTCCTCTGCTTTTCCATTAAGTAACGGGTCGGCGAGACGAGTGGGCCATTAACCTCCTTCAAGGAATTGGACACCATGAATTATCCAAAA